AGTGGAGTACTCACACACCTTTCAGAGCATCATCTTAAGTCTCTTTCCTTCTAGTTTATAACCATTCAATTCATAAGAAAATATAAACCTATTTTGAATAGTTGTTAAAATTCAGAGAAATGTGCAAAAAAATTCCAAAATATAAGACAATTTTTCATATTATATATATTGAAAGTAAATCTAATGTTACCTTCTGGATTTGATAAAGAAATACAATGAAAGGTACTACATCAAAGTTTCTTTTAAAGAACTTGTAAATTGACTAAAACAGGAGGAATGTAGAACATACAGTTGCCAACATCACAGCTTGAAATGATGGGGGAATTAAGAGAGGATAATGGAGTAAATAATATGATCAAAGAGTAATGTATAAATATGTGTAATATCTGTAACTATATAAAAGGAAAATCCTCATTAAGTACTTAATTTATTAGAGAAAAATTTCTGGGACTTTCAACTGTTTTGAGAGCGGCTGAGATCTGGAGATAGGACTCAGTGGTTAAGGGAGATTGCTGTTCTTCTAGACGACCCAAGTTTGCTTCCTAGCACATCAGTTAGCTCCCAATTACCTGTAATTCTAGGCTCAAGGGGTTCAATGCCTTTTTTAGGCCTATGTGGGCACCTGCACTCATGTTACCACACATGCAAACACACACACTACACAACATGCACATACATATACTAAAATAATGAAAATCTTTAGTTATTTAGAACAAGAAGATTAATCATGCCCAAAATTATTTATCGTGTGCTTTAAGGGGTCATTCTCTGACATTCATATGCATCTATAGAAGTAATTTATCAGTCAAATGTGAGCACAGTATTATAACATGAATAATGGTGTCTGTCTGGAATATTGACAAAGTAGTGAACTGACCAACTATTACTTAACAGAGTATAAATAAATAAAGGGCATGTTAGATTATTCAGTAGTTTTACATTCTGAGCTCAGTTTGGTGGCAGGGAGGAATTTAAGGTGCTCCATAGAGAAAACAATGGCCCTCACTTTGTTCTAAAGAACAGCAAGAAGAAAGATAAACAACAGCGTTAACAGTTCCCTTCCACACACTTACCACTGTATCAGTCTCATTAAAAAAAAAGAACAAGGCAAAATACTTATTTTTTTGCCATATTTTTTTATGTTCTTCCTCATCAGTCTAACAAATGCTTGGCATTTGCTGACTGCCAGTGAACCAAGAAATAGAAAATAAGGTAAAGTAAACATACCGAGACAGACCCATGGAAACCAGAGACAAAGGCTTAAAGAAAATGTGGGCAAGGGAAGCAGCTGGTAGATTCACTGGCATACCACTGAGACCTTCGTGGTTAGGACAACATAGGACTGAAAAAGTTGGGACTGAAAGAAGGGGGTGGGAGGTGAGTAAAGACAGCAAAGTCCCACAAGAATGTTGTCAGTAACATGAAGAACGTAAGTAGAACAGAACAACCACACAAACTGCAGTGGTGCCTTCAGCAAATCTTGTCTGTCTAAGTTGATTACAGGTGGATAAAAACCAGCTTGTCTTTTAGAAGAGCCTGTTAATCTGAATGAAATGATTGTATCTTAGATTTTGAGAAGCACTTCATGTTTGTGGCTGTGTGTTCTTAAGTATCCGTGATAAATAACAAAACAAAACAACTACATGTGTTGAAAACTCCATCTGCTCCACAGTGAAATTTTCTAAACCACACAAATTTATTTTTCTAAAAAAGCCAAGCTACACTAAATTAGAATGCAGTGTGATTTGTAAAAAACAAATTGTTTGTAAATAATGTAATATAATTAGCATAATCCTTAAATAAATGCCCTGTTGGTGGCAATTCAATAAATGGTGCTTGTTTAAGGATATCTGTTGAGGAAATTCTATTAATGATGCTCTTATTTACACTTTTTGTTTTGCAGATGTCAGTCCTTCCTTTTTGTCACCTTGGTTGAGATAGAGTCTTTTGTTCATTATGTTCACATATATCAAGAAAGATGAAACCTTAGAGTCCAGGGATTTTCCCCTTCTCTTCCTCTCATCTCCGTAGAGGAGATCTGGCATCACCAATGTTGGGGCAAGCATGTCTGTCTTTTACATGCTCTCTAGTGACCTAAAATCAAGTCCTTAAGGTTGTGTCAGAAATACTTTACTTATGGAGCTAACTCGCTAGCATTTTTTAAAAATGTATCAGCACTATCGGACCACAAAGCCAACTCCCAACATTTTTTTAAATGTCTCAGCACTATGGGACAAAGAAGGATTTTCAAGTCACTTGTTTTGTGTAGTAACAATATACTTCATTTCTGGCAGGTAAGCTTTATCATCGGATCAAGCAAAGTGACTGGACTTTTTGTTAGGTTTTGGTTTTCTTCTATTTTGTTTTTCTGCCATCTTGAGCTCAAAGTGATTACAAGAGAAATTTGAGCTCCTAATTCAGAGGGTTGGACTTGTGAATATGTTCCAATTGAAGTTATTATTCAAAAAGGCAGTAAAATGTCTAACATCCTCACAATTAAAAGAACAGAAAACATACTATCCCATGTGTTAGTGGTGTCACAGTGACAGTACATTCCCATTTCTACCCTAGTTTCTCAGTCCCTATCAATCCCTATGCTTTCTGTAGAATGTTGTCTCCCTTCAGTGCTGTTAAACTAACAAAAAATGCAATATTTCCAAAGGAAAAAATGAGTCCATTTATCTATCATTTCAGAAACATAAAGCAAAGACAAAAAGGGTAAGACTATCAGATTCTTACAGTGAGCGATCCTGTGGCCTTTCTTCATAAATGTTTGCCTGGTTACAGCTAGTGTAGTGTATGTTATTAAGACCGTGATGAATAGTTTGGTAAATCTTCATAAAGCTGTGTCCACAGAACTATAGATAGCAAATGTAGTTGACTCTCAGGATGTGTGTCTCTATGTAACACAGATGCTGCCCCACTGAATGGAAGGGTTCATACACAGCCAGTCTGCTGTTAGACAGCTGGCTAGTCTAGCAGGTGATGCTGTTCCAGGGACAGGGTAGTCATCACAGCCTTTGCACATAAGGTAGTAGCTAAATGCTGACTGCTGCGTAGACGATATATTGTCCATGTGATTATTGATAGCCACTTTGAATGGGTTTACTCTATTGACATTACATGACATTAAGATACTCATAATTATATTTACATTATATTTAGTCCTTCTGATAAGTCTTCCCTAAAATTTCTCTTCCTCTAAATTTCAAGTTTTATTCTTCTCATATGTCTGATCAAGTTGACATTTATTAGTTACTTTCTACAGGTCAGAGCTTTTCCTAGAAACATAAAAATATTTTGTTCAAAATTCTGCCAAGTTAGAGATCTGGTTATTAGTGTACTTCATTGTTCTTCCTGAGTCAGAATATAGTATAGCTCTGATCCAGTTCCAGCTTGCTCATGGGTGCCATGCTCAGGGACCTTCCTAGAGTTTAAGCCTTCATCTGTTCCTAACTTGTATTGGAAACACAACAGGGGCCAGAGATGGAAAATGAAGGAATGAGGCATGTCAGAGACTGCAGTACTTTATGAGGTCCCATGTGCTCCTCAGGCTCAGCCCTTTACATGTCCAGACGTTCATTTTATAGTGGATTGTTGCTGCATGCATTCAGTTCATAGTGGGAAGTTTGGGTCACACTGTCATTTTGTAATTCACTTTGCAGGTAATTGTTTAATTTTCATCTATTGCTGGGCTTTCTTGAACCTTGGCTTTCTATTCCAACTGCAGACAAGACAAGGACTATTCCAGTGATGCCATGGGAACCTTTGTTCTTCATATGCGTTTTCAGCTTGAATTTCTCTTTTTTTCCTGTGACATTTTTCTAGGTTTTTAGAGGAACAATGTCAACATGTTCTATAGTCTTTATGATCACTATGACTTCTGTGGCAACCAGGTGGCACAAGCATTTGTTCTTTCAGCCCTTGTCATCTCTACCAACATGTCACTCCAGGTCTCCACCAATGACAGTTGATGACTCTCAGCTGCATCTTCTTCTATAGATTATCCATACTTTATTTTCTCCTTTGGAAGAAGAATATTATTTCAACCCACACACAACAGATACACAATACACACACACATACATACACCATAACCAAAAAATACCACTCATTCTCAATAATTTAATTTTGAAGATATATTTTCTGGATCTCTTCTCTAGCATTAATTACTGTCTCTGGGTTCCCAAAGGAAAGACTTGAATTATTCAGTAAAATGATTTGAAGATGTCTTTTTTACAAAGAGACTGTTTATAGAGTTGAAACCATGGCAAACCGCAGAGTGATCTTAAGCTAAGAGCAGCCAAGTCATCATCGTCACTATGAACGCAGTGAGGAGCTGTTCCCAGACACAGAATTATAGTATAGACTTATGAATAGTGTTGGTAATATCATTTAAAGTTCACAGCTGGCCTGAGGTTACATTGCAGGATGGCACTATGAAAATAAATGATCTGGTTTTACATACTTCCTTCTAATTGTGAAAAAGCTATAATGATGACACACTATAGGAGCCAGAGGGCATAATATGGGGACTTTGGGGTTCCTATAAATTAACTTAATGAATCAGAAGTGTATAGTGGATCTTATGCTATGTGAAAAATGTTTCTCTATATATTTCATTCTCTTTCTTGGAGCTAAAGTAAGTCCCCAACTTGTTTAAAGATGGAATAGAAAAAAAGAGTTGCATGCAAATATGTACGGATGATATTATGAGTAGGCACAGTTTTACCTGTATCTCACTCTTCATTCATCAATACTTTCATGTGCTAGGACCATGCTACATCAAACCCCAAATCTGATGATTAAACTTCCTCCCCCCTGCTTTTCTTGGAATTCAAAGCACAACTTGAAAATACAGACTTCTCAGAGTAGTGGATAAAATCTATCCTGCTGTCTAGAAAATATTCATGCACAATGAGGATTTCAAGGACAGATATTTGTGGGTCACTGAGCCCACATCTCTACAGTCGATCTCAATTAACACTCATTTATTCTAGAGGAACTCCTGAATTCTCACATCGCCCACTGGTGGTCGCCTGATGGAGAGAGACTTGCCTTCCTGATGATAAATGACTCCTTGGTGCCTAATATGGTTATTCCTCGGTTTACTGGAACACTGTACCCCAAAGCAAAGCAGTACCCATACCCCAAGGTAAGCAATGCAAAAGGGCTGTTTTCTTCCTTCTCTCTGCATCAGTGACTTGATGGACAACATGCTTGTTTCAAGAAAAAGTGCCTCTGAAAAAGAGGCTTCCTATAAGTAGACAAAGCCATCAATTCTAAATTTGTCACTTGAAGTCAACAGAAAGAGTGTGGGTAGAAAAAGTTACAAATGGGGCTGGAGGGATTGTTCAGGCAACAAATTACTTGTTGTATTAGCAGAATTACTTGAATTTGATCCTCTCTAAACTATGTTAAAAAGCAATGCTTGGAAGTGCTTACTTTTAATACCTTGAGTGGGAAGATGGATATAGGTGTACCCCTGTGGCTCATTGGCCAGCTAGACTAAAGCTCATGGTGAACTCCCAGCCAACAATAAATTTCATCTCACAAAAAAGGGGGAGAACACCAGAGGAATGGCAGCAAAAGAACCTCTGGCCTCCATACAAATGCATACACATTCTTTCTCTCTCTCTCTC